TCACCCTACGATGTGCCCGCTGTGCCTTCTCACCCTACGATGTGCCCACTGTGCCATCTCACTCACCCTACAATGTGATTTTTTTGTGTGGTATTTTTGTTTTTAGAGACAGAGTTTCTCTGTGTAAACCTCTGCTGGGATTAAAGGCATATGCCACCACTGCCCTGCCTGTGATTTAAAGAAAAAAGCAAATACAAAAAAACTGAAATTTTTCATATTTTTTCTGATTCTTTTGTTTGGGGATTTTTTGTTTGTTTTCTTTGTGAGACAGGGTTTCTCTGTAGCTTTTGGAGCCTGTCCTGGAACTTGCTCTGTAGACGGGACTGGCCTCAGACACACAGAGATCCGCCTGCCTCTGCCTTCTGAGTGCTGAGTGTGTCACCACACTCCTTCCTTATTCTTCCGTTTGGAAAATGAGATCCACTGTAGTGTGAGCTGTGGGGTCTTCCTCTATTCAGAATACGACATATCTGAACTCTCAATAATGGGTCAGGAAGGATTTTGGGCAGAGCCGAGTGACTCTAAACATTTGACATCTGTCTGAGAAAGGCTGAAGGTCCAGCACCTTTTTTCAAGGTCAGCAAAGGGTAGAGATTTTGAAGTTAGTTATCACAGGGTTCTCAGCCAGGCAGCCAAGGTCCCTTCCTCCCACTCTGCAGAGAAAAGAGGAGGTGGTTGAAGAAAGGATATGAGATTGGTTCTCTGCTCCTCCCTTTCTCTCCCTGTTTTCTCCCCCACAGCAGTCTTCTCCCCCACGGAGACTGGGATAGGACAGAGGGGGCGGAGTTGGGGATCGAGGGTTTGGAAGCCCTACAGTGCCCTGTATCTGCAGAAAGCCTTGGCTGGGTTAGCTGTGCTGGTTTATGCTGTCCGGCTGCCATCCTTTAGCAGGATGTTGGGAACACTGGGGCTTTGGACACTGCTTCCGGCAGTTGCACAAGGTAAGTGTCTACAGATAGGGCAGGGTCTTTCCACCACCCAAGAAGGGAAAAGGTGTACTTGAAGCAGAGCTACCCATTTGGAAGAAGAAGAGATGAGTGGGCTGTATGAGTGAAGACGAAGGTAGAGCCACCTGTTCCCATCCATGGGAATCAGGCCTCTGTTGACCCCAGTCCCTGTGCCTCTGCCATACTGACCCTGAGGTCCTCTTTTGTTTATTCCTTTGGCTGCTGTTTGTCCCTGACTTTACTACCTTCTTGCCTCCCCTTTCTTCACCTTGGACTTCAGTGTCCCCAGACAGGAGGACCTGTGTGTTCTTTGAGGCTCCTGGAGTACGGGGAAGCACAAAGACACTGGGGGAAGTGCTAGGTGCAAGACCAGGGACCCCCAAGAGTATCCGCTGCCTCTACAGTCATTGCTGCTTTGGCATCTGGAATCTGACCCATGGCCGGGCACATGTGGAGATGCAAGGTGAATGGTAAAATATACGGTGGGTGAGAGCTAGGTAGGGGAGAGGCATGTCCGGGTTGAGGGAGACAGCCAAGAGGGAAAGGGAGAAGTGGTATGTGTAGAGGGAAAAAAGCATGTCAGGTGGAAGGGATGCCTCTGATGGAGAAGGGACTTGATCTCTGCCCCCAGGTCTCATTGTACTCTCACCCCCTTTCTCCTTCCCCTAATCCCATTAGGATGTCGAGACAGTGATGAGCCAGGCTGTGAGTCCCTCCACTGTGACCCAATCCCCCGAGCCCACCCACGCTTGGGTTCTACTCTCTTCACATGCTCCTGTGGTACTGACTTCTGCAATGCAAATTACAGCCATCTGCCTCCTTCAGGGGACCAAGGGGCTCCTGGCCCCCAGGATCCTCAGTCTACCTCAGGTAGCTGCCTTCCCCAGGGTACTAGAGCCCAGAGGGGGCAAGGAGCATAAGTCAGGACAAGAAGAGAACCAGGGCAGTTCTCAGCCCACCCCCACCCAGAGATTCCCTCCTCCTGGCCTTGGGAAGCTGGTTGCCCTGGTGACTGGGAGATAAGGGGGCTTGTGACCAGCATGGGGGTGGTTTGGAAAGCAGAAGAGAGAGGTTCAGTGCTCACCCACATGTCCTCTTCCCTTGCTGTCCAGGTGGGCCCGTCTGGATGGCACTGCTGCTGCTGGGGATGTTCCTTGCGCTGCTGATGTGCAGCGTCATCTTGGGTACTAATCTCTCCCACCCCTCGCTTCCCCAAAGCTTCAAGCCTTCTCCAGGCTCTGTTGAACCCCTGGTTCTGGGATCGCTGTAGCCCCACATTTCCTTGTATAAAGCTCTCTTCCCACATAGCCCCCTTGACTGCCTCCGTCCTGTGCACCCTACCCTAAGGCTATTTTCTGCTTCAGCCCTGCTACAACGAAAGACCTGCGGAGTGCACGGTGGGTCAGACCCTGAGCCAGGCGCAAGCACAGGCGGAGACTGTGAAGACTGTGAGGAACTGCCAGAGCTGGCTGAGCTGTGCTTTTCCCAGGTGCTTCAGGGAAGGAGTGGGGCCCCCCCGGTACTCCTGGAGGTTCTGCTGGGGTGGGGGGAGCTTGGCTCTGATGTTAGCTCAGAGGTCCACACTCAGTGCAGTTGCTTCCAACAGGTGATCCAAGAAGGAGGGCACGCAGTCGTCTGGGCCGGGAGGCTTCAGGGTGAGATGGTAGCCATCAAGGCCTTTTCCCCAAGGGCTGTGGCTCAGTTCCGAGCTGAGAGAGCTGTGTACCAGCTGCCGGGCCTACAGCACGACCACATCGTGCGCTTTATCACCGCTGGCCAGGGGGGCCCTGGCCCTCTGCCATCTGTGCCTTTGCTGGTACTGGAACTGTATCCTAAGGTGAGCATCACGAAATGTCTGTAATGTGCACCAGGCCTATGTGTGCTCACGGAAGTGAGGTGCTACGTAGTGGGTTCTCACCCATGCCTGCTTACCTGTGCTTCATACTTCCCTTAGAACAACTGTTTTCTTTCTTTCTTTTTTTTCTTTTTTTTTTTTTTTTGGCTTTTTGAGACAGTTTCTCTCTGTGTCTGTGGCTGTCCTGCAACTTGTTCTGTACAGCAGGCCAGCCTCACATTTATAAAGATCTGCTTGCTCCTCTGCCTCCTGGGATTAAAGGTGTGCACCACCACCATCCAGCAAGGAGTCATTGTTAAATACATATCCAGGCATAGCTGTCTAATTCATTCATCTGTTCCTTTAACCAATGTTTATAAACAATAAGGCAAACACTGCTAGATGCTCAAAAAGCACACATGGTCCCTAATTGTACAGACTTTATAGACTAACGAACAGGTCGTACCAAGTGTCAGGTGTGTTAGAAGCAAACAGAAAGAGCATTGGATACTACAAAAAAAATAGTAATAAGCCAGGTGGTGGCGGCACACGCCTTTAATCTCAGCATTTGGAAGGCAGGGGCAGGCAGATCTCTGTGAGTTCGAGGCCATCCTGGTTTACACAGCAAGGTCCAGGACAGCCAGGGCTACACAAAGAAACCCTGTCTCAAGAAAACAAAAGGAGTGCTGGAGAGATGGCTTGGTGATTAAGAGCACTGGCTGCTCTTCCAAAGGTTCTGAGTTCAATTCCCAGCGTTCACATGGTGACTCACAACCATCCATTGTGAGATCTGGTGTCCTCTTCTGGTAAGCAGAATGCTGCATACATTATAAATAAATATTTAAAAGAAAGACAGAAAGAATAATAAGATTTGACATGAGAGCTCAGCTGTAAAGATTCTTGTTGTGCAAGCCTTGGGGACCTGAGTTCAGTCCCCAGAACCCATGTAAAGGCAGAAGGAGAGAATGCCACAAAGTTATCCTCTGACCTCCACATATGCACTATGGCAAAGCTCCCAAAGACTACCCCTTTCTATAAGAACAACAATAACAATAAACCATTATAGTTGTTTTACCCGTGTGTATGCCTGCGCACATGTTCGTGCCTGGTGCCTGTGAAAGCCAGGAGAGAGCATTGGATGTCCTGGGCTGGAGCTGCTGTGTGGGTGCTGGAGACTCAACCCCAATCCTCTGGAAGAGCAGACAGAGTAACTGCTGAGCCATTGCTCCAGTCCCTTAGATATTTTTTAATGAAAAGAAAGGATGAGCCAGGCAGTGGTGGCACACCTTTTAAACCCAGCACTTGGGAGGCAGAGGCAGACAGATTACTGTGAGTTTGAGGCCAACCTGGTCTACAGAGCAAGTTCTAGGACGGGCACCAAAGCTACACAGAGAAACCCTGTCTCAAAAAAAAAAAAGCAACAACAACCAAAAATCTGTTTATGGGTTTGTGTTCCTGTCTGCCTGTGGGTATGTCCAAATGAATGCGGCTACTCTGAGAGATTAAAGGCACCAGATCCCCTAGAGCTGGAGTTACAGACAGCTAACTGACCAATGTGGGTGTTGAGTTGAACTCAGGCCCACTTAGAAAACAGTACTGAGTCACCTCTCTAGCCCAAAAGTAAAATACATTTTTGTTTGTTTATTTGTTTGTTTGAGACAGAGTCTCTCTATGTAGCCCTAGCTATCCTGGAACTCACTCTGAATACCGGACTGGCCTGGAACTCGCAGAGATCAGCCTGACTCTGCCTCCAGAATGCTTGGATTAAAGGCATGTGCCTCTGTGCCTGGCTAAAAGTAAAATAAATGTTAAAAAAAAAAAGAAAAAGAAGAAAAATGCAAAAGAGAGCCAGGTGTAGTGGTATATAATTTTAATGCCAAGAAAAAGAAGAACAATTCAGGCATGGTGGTATGTGCTTGTCATCAGAATCCAAGGCACACGGGGATGGACGGTCTCTGGGGCTTCCAGCCACCCTGGCCTCCTGAGAGCGCTGCAGTTAGTAAGAGAACCTGTCTCAAATCCATGTACATATATACAATTCCTTCTTATTTGCTTAGTGTCCTCCGCCTGTCACAAGTACTGCAGCCATGATTGCTCTACAGCCGTGGCATCTAGTTTATTGTTATATTGCGGCACTTACTGTCTGCTCTGCTCTTATGATCGATCACCTCTTCCTGAGTCACAGTGCTGCCTGGGCAAAGTTGCCGGCACACCCAAAGGTACGCCCCATGTAACCAGTGGCCTAGTCCCAGTTGTTCCTCCATTAGCTCCACCCACCCATGTCTATGCAGGCCTGATACCCCAGGCCAGGAGGTTTGAGGGACGCCTTGGACTACCTTTGTCCTGGATCCTCTGTGTCAGCACATGACAGTGACTCTTGAGTCAGACTCTTGGATCCAAATTCCACTCCCGTTCATCGCTTGACCTCTAGCTTCCTCAGCACCTCTGAGGTGTGGTCGTTTGTGCCTATACTGCTGGCACTCAGGAGGATCACGGCTAGCCTGATGGCAGCCATACCCTCCTAGTGACTCCCGTGTCAGCCCAGGTTACAGACATACATAGTGAGACCCTCCCTAAAACAGTGGGGTTGGGGCACAGAAGGAAAGAAGGCAAAAGCTCCAGCAAGATGGTTCAGTAGGTAGAGGTGCTTCCATGACACCTGCAGACCTGGGTCAGCCCTGGAACCTATGTGGTGAAAGGAGAACCAGCTAGAGCACGCTGTCTCCTGCCCCCAACATGTACCGTGCGGGTACCCACATGCAGACACATACACCACACACAAATAAGAAAGGGGACTCATATTTTAGAGAAAGAGAGGGAAAAAAAGCCCACAGAAAATCAGGGTGATCAGAACTCCGTCACACTGTGGTCCTCATGGGGACTCCAGGAAGCCCTGTTTGAAGGACTGTGTCACGGTGAACTCAGCGCCACTGAGTTAGGCTACTTCCTCCCTATACCGTTCTCTCCCACTCCCCCATATTAGGCCTTAGATGTAGCGCTTCCTGCTTCCACCTCTTGAGTGCTGAGATTACAAGCCTATGCTACCATATCTGGCTGAAATTATTTATTTTTTTGTGTGTATGCATAAGTGTGTGCTTTATGCGCTTTCAGGCAGGGTCTGCTGTAACCCACACTGGCCTGTTCCTGAGCCTTCTCCTTCCACTTCCCAAGTGCTGGGATGGCAGACGTGCAGTATCACACCCAACTACAGTTACTATTTTTATCCTGTCACTTTGACTGATTCATTTTCTTAGGCCTTGGCTGTCTGTGGTGTCTTGACCTGGTTCTGCCAGGGTGTCTCTGTCTGCTGGGGAGGTGCAGGCTGGTGTGTGTGGGGTCTGACCCTAGGATGGTCTTCCCTATCTATGTGTCCAGCTCTTCCCTCTGCTCTTCTCCAGGGTTCCCTGTGCCACTACTTGACTCAGTACACCAGTGACTGGGGAAGTTCCTTGAGGATGGCTCTGTCCCTGGCTGAGGGCCTGGCATTTCTCCACGAGGAGCGCTGGCAGGATGGTAAGTGAGCTGGCAGCAGGGAGGCAGGAACCACATCATTGTGTCCAGTTCTGTCTTCTCTTAGAGAAGGACTGGGGCAAGGAAAACCAGATGACCTGTGTTTCTTCAACCTTGGATTTCTCCACAGGTCAATATAAACCAGGTATTGCCCACCGAGACTTGAGCAGCCAGAATGTGCTTGTTCGGGAAGATAGGTCGTGTGCCATTGGAGACCTGGGCCTTGCCTTGGTGCTCCCTGGCCTTGCCCAGCCCCCTGCCTCAGCACCTACTCAACCTGGAGGCCCAGCTGTCATTTTGGAGGTGAGTGTTTTTTAATAAGTGTGAGGCCTGGGATGATGGTGGTGCTGACGAGCATATAGCCATTGCCGTGGCAACGGTGTAGCTTTGCTAGTGGATGGGACGTGGACCAGAGCTGCAGGGCAGGTTTCCATAGAGGTGATTCTTGGCACTTACATCTTATTCTCCAGGCTGGAACCCAGAGGTACATGGCTCCAGAGCTCTTGGACAGGACTCTAGACCTACAGGACTGGGGCACAGCCCTCCAGAGAGCAGATATTTATTCCCTGGCTCTTCTCTTGTGGGAGATCCTGAGCCGCTGTTCAGATCTGAGGCCTGGTAAAGTCTCTACCCCCAGTGCCCCTCCTACCTCCTAGCCTGACTGTATAAGGCTATGCCCTTTCCTAGTTTCTCTACCTGGGAGCCCCTAACCATGGTAGGTGAACATAATGCTTATGCTTTCCCCAGACCGCAGACCACCACCTTTTCAACTGGCCTACGAGGCAGAACTGGGCAGCAATCCCAGTGCCTGTGAGCTGTGGGCCTTGGCAGTAGAGGAGAGGCGGCGCCCCAGCATCCCGTCCACCTGGAGCTGCTCCACCGCAGTAAGAAGCACAAGCTCACCAGCGGGGGCTGGGAGGGGGGCTGGGTGTGCATTTCAAGGGCTTCTCTGCTATATTTGCCCTCGGTTTGCCTTTTCTTCTCTAAGTCTCACACAACTGATTCCACCCACCTGGTACATATACCCTCCCGTGGAGCCTTTTATATTGCTACCCCCTGACTCCATTAGTTAGCTCTCGTTCAGTCTCCTCCTCTAGGAAGTCCTCTCTGACCTTTCTCCCACTTGGAGCTCTGCCTCTGTGACAGTGTCTCTTTCAGTACTGTAGGCCCCCAAATTCAATCCAGTGCCCCGTCATTTTGTACTATACAGCTCTATTTCTGCTGTGGACCAATTAAAGCTAGTTCTGGGTGTAACATGGTTCTAGGTGTAACAGGGTTCTAGGTGCAACAGGTCTGTAGGCGCGATGGGTCTCTAGGTGTGACCGGGTTCTAGGTGTGGTTAGAACCTGATTAGAAGAGTTGCCTGACAGAGAAAGTGCAGAGTCCTTCTCAGATATTTCCCGAGAGATGCTCTTTTTCTTTCCCACTGTCCTACCTGAAATCTCTACCATACAAATGTTTGTTGGGAGGCAAGCTTTGTCTGCAGGACACACTGGAAGGAGAGTAATTTTCCATCAGCATCTAAGTTGTCAGCCGGAATTATCCTCAGATAAGGAAAAGATCAACCCTTTGATTGATATTCAGGGAGTCTGTCACAGGGAACAAACCTCATGGGCCTGGACTTTAGGGGATGGGACTGAGGGTGCTTCACAAGTGGAGTGTGGGGTCAGGATTGGTGGAGTTAGCAGGGCACTGTGCGTAGTGTGGGATCAGGATTGGTGGAGTTAGCAGGGCACTGTGTGGAGTGCGGGGTCAGGATTGGTGGGGTGGGGTAGAGCCATGGGAGAAGTGAGCACTGAAATGTCCACTCTGGAGTTGGGCCAGGCCTGATCTAGTTTCTTCCTCCAGGACCCCGAAGGGCTGCGGGAGCTGCTAGAAGACTGCTGGGACGCAGACCCCGAAGCACGACTGACAGCTGAGTGTGTGCAGCAGCGCCTGGCAGCCCTGGCTTCCCCGCGGGTGGCTTCTTCCTTCCCAGAGAGCTGTCCTTCAGCACCTGCCTCTGCTCCTCTCCCCTGCAGGCCTCAGCAGGCTTCCTGCCACCTCAGTGTTCAGCAAGGCCCTGGCTGTAGGAGTCCTCAGCCTGTCAGTACTAGTGTTCGTGTGTAAATGAGCCGTTTGTATGAACGCTTTATACAGCTAACATATGTGTGTCGATCACACACCTGTTGCTGTCATTCCCTGTGGGTCTTTAGCCCATGGGGTACGTGTGCTCAGGAAAGAGAATAAAGATTTCCCACTGTTGGCCTTGGGCTTGCCTCTTTTTTATTGGTCTTTTTCACTAATGTGTATTTATTTATTTATCTTGAGATCTGTTTATTTTATTTATAGTATATATGTTTGTCTATGAGTTTATGTGCAACACATGCATGCAGGAACCCTTGGAGGCCAGAAGAGAGTGTCAGATCCCATGGAACTGGAGTTACAGATAGTTGTGAGCCACCATGTAGATGCTGAAAACAGGTCCTTTGTGAGAACAGTAATTGCTCTGAGATGCTAAACCATCTCTTCAGCCCTTTATTTATTATTTATTTTTTGAGGCAGGGTCTTGCCTTCGCTCAATATGTAGTCCAGGTTTGTTGCAAGGAGCAGGCCCCTTGTTTGTCCTGGTCGCCCGGCTAGCCTACACCCAAAATAACCACACAGAAACTGTATTAATTAAAACATTGTTTGACCATTTGCTCTAACTTCTTATTGACTAACTCTTACATATTAGTTTAACCCATCTCCATTAATCTGTGTATCGCCACGTGGCTGTGGTTTACCGGAGATTCTAACCAGCATCCATCTCAGGCAGAGGATCCATGGCTTCTCTGACTCTGCCCTTTTTCCTCCCAACATTCAGTTCTGTTTTCTCTGCATACCTAAGTTCTACCCTATCAACTAGGCCAATTCTTTATCCATTAACCAATGAAAGCAACACACAAACAGAAGGAACGCCTACACCACAGGCTAGTCTCAAACTTGCAACTATGCCCTTAACCTCAGTGTCTCAAGTATTGGAATTACAAGTTTGAGACTCTAGCATGTATGTATGTATGTATTAGACAAAGTCTCACTATGTAACCCTGGCTGGCCTGGAGCTCACTTTGTAGAGCAAGTTGACCTTGAATTTACAGAGACCCCTACCTTTCTCAAGTGCTAAGATTAAAGGCATGTGCCACCATGCCAGGTAGCAATACTTATTTTTAAAGATTTTCTTTGTATTATTTTAATTATGTGTATGTGTGTATGTCTGTGGTGTGTATACATGGGCACAGGTGCCTGGGGAGGGCAAAGAAACAGGGCATTCCTGGAGCAGAAGTCAGGAGTCATGTGACACGGGTGCTGAGAAGTGATTGGAGTAAATGCATTTTAACCTCTAAGCCATCTCTCTGGCACCACCAGGATTAATTTTTAAATGGTGGCATCACCCGCTGGGCACTGGGGGAAGAGGAGTGATTCCAATGAAGTCATTGCCCTGATGATGCTCACATGGTGGGGTAAGAGGAGAGGCATCCTGAAGCACAGGACACTGACGCTGAAGCTTGCCTAGGCAGGAGCTTCCCGGAGCATCGGGAACACTGAAACATTGCAGGGACTGTAAGGAGTGATAGCAAACAGTGCAGAATATGGGAGGAGTCTGCAGGTGAGTTATAGCAAACGTGTTGAGGTGGAGATGGAGATTTAGCGCACTGTCGAATGCTGACAGAGCATGCACAAGTCCCTGGGCGCTATCCCTAGCATGCTCATACTCCCAGCACCGGGAAAGTGGAAGCAGGTGCTCACTGGGAGTTGTAAGTTCAAAGTCAGAGACTGGAGAGAGATGGCTCAGTTACCAGGATTTAGTTCCCAGCACCTCATTAGGAGGTTTAATTTCAGTTCCAGGGTACCTAATGCCTTCATCTGGCCTCATACAAATTTGTAAAGCTAAGTGTAAGGTCCTTTCTCAATAAAAAGTGTAGGAAAGGGGCTGGAGAGATGGCTCAGCGGTTAAGAGCATTGCCTGCTCTTCCAAAGGTCCTGAGTTCAATTCCTTTCAATTCCCTGCAACCACATGGTGGCTCATAACCTACTGTCATGAGGTCTGGTGCCCTTTTCTGGCCTGCAGGCATACACACAGACAGAATACTATATACATGGTGACAGGGGAGGGAAGGTGGAGAACTGAGGGCCAGGCCCTGTCATGAAGCGCTTCATCCTTTTTTTTATACACAGGGTCTCACATAGCCCAGGGTGGCCTCAAACTTCCCATGTAACTCCCGATCCTTCAGCCTTCTCCAAAGTGCTGGGATTACAGGCTTGGGCCACCATACCTACTTTTTCTCTTTTTCTCTGCTTTCTTCTCCTTCTTTTTGATGATAGCTTGATAAATCCCTTTATTTTATGCTTATTCCTTTCCTAAGCGAAACACTACTTTGTTTATTTATTTATTAAGAAACAAAGTCTTGGCTGGAGAGATGACTCAGCTGTTAAGAGCACTGGCTGCTCTTCCAGAGGTCCTGAGTTCAATTCCCAGCAACCACATGGTGGCTCACAGCCATCTGTAATGAGACCTGGCGCCCTCTTCTGGCATACATGGAGGCAGAATCGTGTATACATAATAAATAAATAAATATTAAAAAAAAAAGAAACAAAGTCTCAGTCATAGCCTGGATTGCTGTGTAGTTTAGTAGTCCAGGTCAACCTCAATTTGAGATCCTCCTGCCTTATCCTCTCAACTTCTAGATTGCAGCGTTGTGCATGTCAGAGGACAATTTCCAGGAGTTTGTTCTCTCCTGTCCTGTGGGCCCTGGGGGTGGAACTGAGATTGTCTGACTTGGCAGTATGTGCCTTTACCTGCTAGGTCATCTTGCCAGTCCCTTTCAGAATAACCTTTAAAAATCTTGTTATACCAAGCTGGGTGGTGGCGGCGCACACCTTTAATTCCAGCACTTGGGAGGCAGAGACAGGCAGATCTCTGTGAGTTCGAGGCCAGCTTGGTCTACAGAGCAAGTTCTAGGACAGGCCCCAAAACTACAGAGATACCCTGTCTCCAAAACTCAGCCCCCCACCACCTTCCACAAATATCTTGTCGTACTCTGCGCCTGCTCAGCCTGCTGTGTTCTCTGTGACAGCTTTCCTGCCTCCCGTGCATAAGAGGAAACTAAAGACTGGAAAAGGTCAGAATGTGTGTAAAGTCACATCATTTTAAAATAACAGTGAAAGGGTTCCAGCCATTGAAAGTGCTTATGTGGCTGGAAAGGGGGCTCAGCAGTTAAGAGCAATAGCTGCCCTTCCAGAAGACCTAGGTTTAATTCCCAGCACCCACATGACAACTCACAACTTCTGTCCCGGGAGAATCTGATGCCCTTTTTTGACTTCTGAGGACACTGCCTGCACATGGTGCACAGACACACGGCAGGCAAAACACCCAAACATTGCTGGGCTTGTTGGCGCACGCCTTTAATCCCAGCACTTGGGAGGCAGAGGCAGGTGGATCTCTGTGAGTTCCAGGCTAGCCTGGTCTACAGAATGAATTCTAGGACAGCTAGGGCTGTTACACAGAAAAATCCTGCCTCAAAAAACTGAAATAATAATAATCAGGGGGCTTTGAAGAGATGGTTCAGAGTTTAATAGTACCAGCTGCTCTTCCTGAGGTCCTGAGTTCAATTTTCAGCAACCACATGGTGGCTCACAGCCATTTATAATGAGATCTGGTGCTCTCTTATGGCCTGCAGGCATACATGCAGGAAGAACATTGTATACATAATAAACAATTCTTTAAAAGAAAGAAAAAAGAAAAATCAAAACATGGTCTACAGAGTGAGTTCCAAACAACCGCACAGATAACAGAGCAATGACAAGCAGGGGAGTTTTGTGAGAGCCTGGGAAATCTTCAAGAATGTGTCTTTGCTTTTTACAGGATGGCAATGTTGAGACTTGCGACTGGGCCCCGGCAGCACCCTGCACCTCTCTCCCCTCCCCTTCCCTCCTCTCCCCTGCCCTTGCCAGAGTGTCTGTGTGTAGGTTCAGCTATCTTAGAACCTGATTTGTAGACCAAGCTCTCGAACTCACAGAGATCCGCCTGCCTCTGCCTCTGGAGTGCTGAGAGTAAAGGTGTGCGCCACCACGGCTCTGCTTCTCTCTGGTTTTAAGTAGGGTAGGGTGGCCTCAAACTCCACCAGAAGCTGCTACCTCTGGCCCTGAATTATGATTCTCCTCCACTTCCCAAGGTTACAGACGAGCACTACTAGGCTAGGTTTGCATGTTTTTTCTTCTTTTTAAACAACACCTAATCTATTCACTGGTCTGTAACCGCAAACCAATGACAGGGACTGGAGAGATGATTCAACAGTTGAGAGCACTTGCTTCTCATGCCTAACTCCTGACTGCAGTTCGGTTCCCAGCATCCACACACAGCTCACGACAGCAATTCCAATTCCAGGGGATCTGATGTGCTCTTCTGACCTCCTCTGTCATCAAGCAGGCACTTGGTACACATACATACATTCAGGTAAAACACTCATCCATATGAAAAATAAATTTAAATTTTTAAAAACTAAATCAGTAACCCAATGACAGTTACTTTGGTGGCTCAGGGTCTTTGCTTGTGGCTCCGCCCTAAGGAACATTTCTGCTGTATTTCTCAGCGTCTGTAGTTCATCACGCATGCTTACCAAAGGGCTCCACCTCGCGGCTAGAGCTACCGGTTCCTCCAAGTTTAGTTGGACCACAGCGATTGACAAGTCAGTTCTCCAATCATTATGCCGAGTGACCCTATAACCAGGTCACAGGGGCGGTGCAGAAGCATAGAATGAATAGGAGTGACCAGGAAGTGTGAACTCAGACTGGAAGGAGAACGGCAGCAGGTCCGACGGTCTTCGGTCTTCGGTAGGTGACAGGGCATCTGGCCTCCCTAATTCCCTTCTTTCCTCTTAACTGGAGCTAAGGGTCTGTGTCTGGGAACTAGGAACTCCGTTTGCCTTCTCTTTGGTTGGTGTGTGTGTGTGTGTGTGTGTGTGTGTGTGTGTGTGTGTGTGTGTGTGTGTCCCCTTATCTAAGCGTTTGAGGATCTGGAGCCCTTGTTGCTCCAGGGCGGGGTCCTTTTCTAAACTCCCAGGCAAAGGTTCTCAGGGTGTCCTGGGGCGGCTGGGGAGTTTAAGAGGATGGTTAAAGACCTCCAGTACCTTTTCAGGAAGAGGGAAATAAATGCTGGAGACAGTTAGGCTCCTCCAAATGTGGCTTGAGGTAGTGAAAGTGGGAGGGACCCTGGGAATAGAATTCCTGAGGTTTTGACCCTGGGCTAGAGTAGGCTACTGGGGCGCTGGAAAGAGGAAGGATTTCCTATCTATCTAGCTATCTAGCTATCTAGCTATCTAGCTATCTAGCTATCTAGCTATCTAATTTGATTTTTCGAGACTGGGTTTCTCTGGGTAACCCTGATTATCCTGGAACTTGCTTTTTTTTTTTTTTTTCTTTTTTCTTTCAAGGCAGGGTTTCCCAGTAGCTCTGGAGCCAGTCCTGGAACTCGTTCTGTAGACCAGACTGGCCTCGAACTCACAGAGATCCGGTGCCTCTGCTTAGTGCTAGAACTAAAGGCGTGTGCACCACCGCCACGGTAGTTCTATTAGTCAGAGCCTCTGTAAGGTGGAGGCTGGAGGGTGGGGTTCAGACTCTAGAAAATCCTTTTCTCCTTCTGGGACTTTCAGTTTTTGCCACTTTTCCTTCCCAGGCTGGAGCTAACATCTGGACATGTGGAACCCTAATGCTGGTAAGGATCTGGGGGGGTTCTCTTCTGCCACACCCAGCCCATTTTGCAATGGAACAGGCAGGCTCTGTATCTACAACTTCCCCCTTCCCTAAGCAAAATCGAAGTCTTGGACCACCACTGCCAAGTTTTCCTTCTCCATAAGTGTTAAGAAAAGCAGTAAAATTTTATTTTTGTTGACAGAGGTTCTGGGTGGTTCTTATCTTTATTTTCTGGTTCTTTTTCCAGGGCCTAATCCATATCCACCCCAAGTGGTGTGCCCAGGGGGTCCCAGTCCTGCCTGTCCACCACCTGTCAATCCTGCCTTTCCTCCTGGCCCCTGTCCTCCTGGAATTCCCCAGGGAAACCCAGCTTTCCCTCCGTGTCAGCCTTCTTATCCTGTCCCACGACCAGGATGTCCAGGATACCCACCCTCGGGCCCCTGCCCTCCCTCATACCCACCACCTGGTCCTGGCATGTGCCCTGTGAACCCTCTGGCTCCTGGCATGGTAGGCCCAGGAACAGTGATAGATAAGAAGATGCGGAAGAAAATGAAGAAAGCTCATAAAAAGATGCACAAAAAGCACACGCATGGGAAGGTGGGTGTCCTCTGGGTCTGGCTGGGGAAGGTGAGCGGGACTGCGGGGACTCAGGACTTGTGGGCATGGAAGATGGCAATCGCGTTATTTTGGTAGATGACTTTTCCTTTATGTAAAGGAATCCTCCTGAGAGGAATTTAATAATATCGAGGCATCAGATCTCTTTTATTTCTGAAAAGTGAAGCAGTGTAGGATATGAGAACCAAAAGCCCTCTCCCTTCCCAGGAACCCCCAATCCCTTTGGGGTCGGACACACCCACTGAGGCTGAGTCATTGTCACTTGAATCAGTCTTTTGATGAAACAAAACCACATATATTAACAGAATGGTAAACAAGGCCTTACTTCCAGGGTTTCCTTTATCTCCTTCCGCATTCCAGGGCGTTGTTAAGTATTCCATCTGTGGCCCAGCCTCCAACAAAACCTAGGGTAAAAGAGGATTTTAATCTTCCTTTCACAGGAATACTAATTATTATTTAGGGAGGGACAGAGTTTCCTTGAGGACTTGGGAAGAAGAGGGCAGACCTGAGTCTCCAAGCTTCAGTTAGATTTTATGCCCAATGTTTGCTTTGTGGATCGGGGCTTTAGTTCCTGATTCTAGGTCTTCGGTAGAGATGTGGGGAGTAAAGGAGAGACCCTGGAAATGTTTTAGAATGTTCTAGGGTAGGTGGAGGTCTGTCTGTATGGCCCTTCAGCTCTCTGTCTCTCCCGCTTTCCTGCCTGTTGGAGCCTAGAGGTGCCGCTTCTACCCTCTCTTAGGTGCATAGATTCTAATCTGCGATTGTCCACACTTGCAGCTAGTCTACAGGGATTTATAAGGTAGCAGCTCTTTTCTGGAGCTGAGCTACGCTTATTTAGTCAATATTCCTGGCCTCACCACGGTCAATCTGTAGGCAACGTGTTTAGTCCTGTGCAGTAGTTGAGGACAGTTTAATCTATTCCTATGTGCTCACTGCTGAAGGAAACCCTTGAATTTTGTTGGTTATGGGACAGGATGGGATAAGACTCCTGCCTCCTGGATACTTGGGCGAAAGGGTGGGGCATCAAAGCCTGGCCCTTGGAGTGCCTGGCCCTGGATCTGACGCTGTGTCCTTTGCCCTTGCAGCACTCCTCCTCTTCCTCCTCCTCTTCCAGCAGCGACTCTGACTGAACGCAGGGCTGGGCCCTCCTCCCCTCGAGTTTCACCAGCTCCATTCTCCCATCAAGCTTCAGCTGTCATCTTGTGCTGAGGGAGACTAGCCCTCTGCGCCCTGCTCCACTCCAGTCCTGGCTGTCTAGGGTGAAGGGAAGGAGACTGCTATGGGCAAGCAAAGCTGCCTTCACACTCTTGCTGTCATCCTACTTGGCGAGGTCAGCAGGGGAACTGTCTTTCCAAGATGGTGAAGACAGTGTTAAATCTGCACCACGTGATTCTTTTTGTTTTCTTTTGTAATGCTTGTGCCTGGGGTCTGTGAAAATTTATGATGGAAACCTGTATTTTTGTGATGTTGGCACATGAGGGGATGGAGCGGCAGGCCTGCTGACTGCAGCGGGCACTACAGAGCTACTGGGGACCAGAGTCCCCCTCCCTGATGAGCTCTTTTAGAACCTAGTCTGTTCCTTAGTTCAATATGTTATCTCAGATGGCTCTCAGTCCAAATAAAAGCTGCTTACCTGGCCTCTGCTCTCCTGTGCCATTGCCTTGACTGGGCTCCACACCTGGGCTCCTTTCGTTGCTCTTGGTCACACCCTTTCAAGTGTGTCACCTTTTTTTTTCCTCTGAGAGTCTCACACCACCCAGGCTCCACTATGTAGTCACAGGTTACCTTTTTGTTCTGATCCTCCTGTTTCACCTTCGGAGTGCTAGGGTCACTAGCTTGAGCCACACACCCTGTTTATGGACTTACACTCAGTCTGCCTGCTGGGCAGGCGCTTCCACAAACCAAGCGAGGCCAGCGCCTCAGTGAGGAAAACACTACACTAATCTTTGCTTGTTTGTTTTTGAGACAGGATTTCTCTGTGTAGCCCTGGCTGTATTAGAACTTACTCTGTAGACCAGGCTGGCCTCTAGCTCAGAGATCTGCCTGCTTCTGCCTCTTGGGTGCTGGGATTAAAGGCTTGTGTATCACCGCTCAACAATAGCATATATTTTCATTTGCTGCAGAGGTTTTCTTCAAGACAGGGTCTCAGTATGTATCCATGACTGGCCTGAATTCACATATGTAAACCAGACTAGACTTGAACTCACAGAGATCTATCTACCTGCCTCTGCCTCCCAAGACTGGGATTAAAGGAGTATGGCAACATGCCCAGACTATTATAGAGATCTTCAATCTTTAGTTATTTATCAACTTTAGGGAGCAATTTGTGGTTCTGCCCTTAATCTACAGAATAAGATACTTTAAAAGCTAGCCAGGCAGTGGTGTTTAGGAGGTAGAGACAGGCGGAGTTCTCTGTGAGTTCAAGGCCAGCCTGGTCTACAGAGCAAGTTCCAGGAAGGCTCCAAAGCTACAGAGAAACCCTGTCTCCAAAAAAACCCCAAAATTTGTGTGTGTGTGTATATATGTGTGTGTGTGTGTGTGTGTGTGTGTGTAAATTTATTTTAATGTGTTTGGACTTCATGTATGTGTGTGCATTATGTGCATGCAGTTCTTGTAGTGCCAGAAGAGGGCATAGGATACCTGATACTAGAGGAACAGAATTTACAGAAAAAGATATATATGATCTTAAGGCATTTATTAGAATGGCTTATCAGTTGTGGTCCAGCTAGTCTATATCCAACAATTGCTGTCTACCAACAGAAGATCCCAAGACTCCAGAGTTGTTCAGTCCATGAGGATGAATGGTCTTTAGTATACAACAGAATCCCAAAGAAGAAGGCTCTAATGCCTGAGAAGGAATGGACTTGTCAGAGAACAACCAGTCAAAGAGAGAGCTTCCTTCTTCCATGTCCTGTATCTGTCCAGAAGGTGTGGCCCAGATCAAGAGTGGATCTTCATGCCTCAAAAGATCTGAATTAAAAATGGATCTTGCTGGGTAGGGGTGGGGCTGGTGCTGGTGGTGGTGGCGCACACCTTTTATTCTAGCACTTGGGAGGCGGAGGCAGGTGGATCTCTGAGTTTGAGGCCATCCTGCGAAAAGAAAAAGTACATCTTCCCATTTTAAATGATTAGGAGAAAAAGAATCCCTTACAGGTGCACCCAACTGCTTGGGTTACACAGTCAGCCCCAGATGCACTGAAACTGACAGGCAGCAATAAGCATCATGTCCTGGCAGTGAGAGAGAAGGCAGTGCTCCTGTGTGCAGAGAGAGAGAAGGCAGTGCTCCCGTGTGCAGAGAGAGAGAGAGAGAGAGAGAGAGAGAGAGAGAGAGAGAGAGAAGGCAGTGCTCCTGTGTAATGGGAGACCCACTTGTTTTGATTTTCCCAATGTTCTAGAGAGCTCTTGATGGTCTTGAAACTCACTATGTAGACCAGGCAGGTCTCCCTGCTGCTGTCTCTAGAGTGCTGGGATTACAGGTGGTGGTGGCGGCGGCGCACGCCTTTAATCCCAGCACTCGGGAGGCAGAGGCAGGTGGATCTCTATGAGTTCGAGGCCAGCCTGGTCTACAAGAGCTAGTTCCAGGACAGGCTCTAAAACTACAGCGAAACCCTGTCTCGAAAAACCAAAAAAAAAAAAAAAAAAAAAAGAATTCTATAATCTAGGCGGACCTTGAATTAATGCTCCTATTGTCTCAGCTTTTTAGATACAGGAACTAAATGTGAAACACTACGTAGTCAGTTTAACCAATCTTTTTCTTTTTACTCTATTTTTGTTTATTTTATGTGTCCTTGGCTATCTGACATTGCCTGTTTACACTGCCTTGGAATTCCAAGTGCGTGTTGTGCCATCTCTGTCTGTGTGTGTATGTGTGGGCATGGTTCTAGTGCACTACGTTTGGAGGTTAGAGGAAGCTCTCAGGCGTCTTCCTCTATTGCTTTCTACTTTATCCCCTTGAAACAAACAGGGTCTCTTACTGAACCTGAAGCTCACATTTTGGCTACGTTGGCTGGCTCGTGAGTGCTCAGGATCTAAATTTTATTGGTCCAGGGGATTTGAAGTGAGGTCTTTGTGTGTAACAGGCAGTACATATGTTGAATACATTCCCAGCCCTGCTTTTGTTTGTTTTTGTTTTTGAAATGGGCCTGTTATGTAGCTCTGGCTGTCTTGGAACTTAAAATACAGACCAGGGTGGCCTCAAACTCACAGTTCCTCTGCCTTTACTCTGAAGTGCAGGATCACAGGTGTGGGGTACCACCTGCTGGCTCATTTTGTTTTCTTGAGAGAGGGTCTTTTTAGGTGCTTAAGGTTGACCTGGAACTTGCTGGGTAGCCAGACTAGCTTCAGACTTTTGATTCTCCTGCCTTTGCCTCCCTAGTGCCTCTTGGCAAATATCCACTCTTAATATATGAGTAACTACTATAGTGTGCAGAAGTGGAGATATTGAGAGCCACAGGCCGTATCTGGCTCAGGCATTTGAAGGACTGCTGTCTTGCAAACTGTCAATCATTTCCTAAAGATTTAGGTTTTCTGGTGAAACTCTAGCATGTGTTTACATCTCTAAAGATATAAGTTCTAGTTGTGCCTAGTAACAGTGGGTCCCACTCCAGTCTTTCTCACTCTGTGGGCTTCTCTCAACTCTGACTCCTGAAAGCATTGTACCCCTATTTTGGGTATCATTCCATGCTCCCAACAGTGATATAATTCTCAAATGTTTTTATTCTTTGAATAAGTTTTCAGTTTCAAATCGTGTGTGTGTGCACATGAATGCAGATGCCCTTGGAGGTCATAGGCATCAGATCCCCTGGAGCTGGAGGTACGGGTAATTGTGAGTAACCTGATTTGGGTGCTGGGAATTGAACTCTGATCCTTTGCAAAAGCAGTTATGTGGGGACTGGAGAGGTGGCTCAGAGCTTAAGAGCACTGGCTGCTCTTCCAGAGGTCCTGAGTTCAATTCCCAGCAACCACATGGTGGCTCACAACCATCTGTAATGAGATCTGGTGCCCTCTATTGGCCTATAGGATATATGTAGGCAGAATACTGTATACATAATTAATAAATAAATCTTTTTTAAAAAAGCAGTATGTGCTCTTAACTGCTGAGCCATCTTTAACCGCTGAGCTTGTATTTTTAGACCTCATGGGTTTCTTATCCTTTTCCACACTCATTTAGTGTAAATCTTGCTATACTTGCTGTTTAGTAAGAAAACCATAGCAAGACAGGCACATGCTGTTTTTAATCCTAGTACTCTGGAGGCAGAGGCAGGTGGATCTCATGTGAGTTCAAAGCCAGCCTTTGGTCTACAGAATGAGTTCTAGGACAGTCATGGCTACAATATCCTGTCTCCAAATAAACAACACCAGTATCAGAGTCTCAGATGATCGTGTACACACAAGGCACACAGTACACACACACACACACAGCTAAACACTCATGTACATAAAAATCAAATGTTAAAAAGATACAAGACGCCACGTTTTGCTTCAGGAGCCATGAATTGTGGTAAAACCTTCAGCTTGTTGGCTGACATAACTCATAGATAAGTACGTTGTTCTGTGATCCTAGGCAAGTTCATTCATTGCTGCTTTGGAGAATTTTTTTTTTTTCGAGACAGGGTTTCTCTGTAGCTTTTGGATCCTGTCCTGGAACTAGCTCTTGTAGACCAGGTTAGCCTCGTACTCACAAAGATCTGCCTGCCTCTGCCTTCCGAGTGCTGGGATTAAAGGTGTACACCACCATCGCCCTGCTTGGAGAATTTCTTGATCCATAACTAGATACTATTAAATTCTTTTTTCTCTTGCTTACCCTCTTTCCTTTCTCCCCTTATCTTTCTGTTTAAAAAATGTATTTTGTTTATGTGTATGTGCCTGCACAAATTTATGTACATCACTTGCATGAAGTGTGCAAGAAGGCCAAAGGGCATTAAATCCCCTAGGACTGAGTTACAGACGATTTGTAGCGTACTTGATGCGGGTGCTGAGAACAGAAACCAGGGCCTGTGCAAGAGCAGTGAGTGCTTTCAAGCAAACAAACAAACAAACAAACAAACAACCCCACGTATTTCTGTGCACTGTATGCGTCCTTGGTGCCTACAGAGAACAGAATAGTGTATGATCCTCTGGTACTGTAGTTCCAGGTGATTGGGAGCCACCGTGTGGGTGCCAGGCTGGAAACCTGGTCCTCTGGAGGAACAGATAGTACTATTAACCACTGAATCATCTTTCCATCCCATCCCTCTCTTAAAAAAATTACATTTATTTTTATTTTATGTGTGTGTATACATGCCATGGTATAAGTTTGACAACCAGGATAATAAGGACTAATTGGTTTTCTTGTTCTACCATGTGGGACCCAGGAATCAAACCAAAGCCTTCAGGCTTGGCGGCAAGTATATTTACCAGCTGAGACAGATTGTCTACCCTGTCTCCCTGTTCTGTGTCTGGGATTATACCTAGGACCTTGCATGCTAATCAAGGTTCTTCACCCAACCCCAGGCCTGCATCTCTCTCAAAGTTGGTTGTAGCTGTTGGCCAGGCCTGATACAACCATTAGATCTTTGTCTTGCCCTGTGCACTACCGATGACCTCATGGACTGCATTCTAGTTGTTGGAGTGCTACCAGGCTGACTGGGTCACCTGCAAAATCTTGAGGCTAAACTTCCAGTTTAGGTCTGACACAAACTTGCTCCTTAATTGACTTTTCTTCTGGGGCTTTTAATTTTTCCCTATTTCCTTTCTGTTCTGCTCTTTACTCTTGGTCAAATGACAAGGTATTTTTTCTTCTTTTTTCTGATGTTTTTTGTTTTGTTTTGAGACAAGGTCTCTCTACAGAGTCCTGTTCTTGAACTGTAGACAAAGCTGGTTTTTTTTTTAAAAAGGATTTATTTATTTATTATGTATACAGTGTTCTGTTTGTGTATGCTTGCTGGCCAGAAGAGGGAACCAGATCTCATTACAGATGGCAGTAAGCCACCATGTGGTTGCTGGGAGTTGAACTCAGGACCTCTGGAAGAGCAGTCAGTGCTCTTAACCTCTGAGCCATCTCTCCAGCCTACAAAACTGGTCTTGAACTCAGAGAGCCACCTACCTCTGCCTCCTGAGTGCTGTAATTAAAGGCGTATGCCACCACTCCTGACAGATTTACCTGATTTTTGTTTCATCTATCTGCCTATCTATCTATCGTTTTCTTTTTTTTTAAATATTTATTTATTTTATGTATACAATATTCTGTCTGTGTGTATGCCTGCAGGCCAGAAGAGGGCACCAGACCCCATTACAGATGGTTGTGAGCCACCATGCGGTTGCTGGGAATTGAACTCAGGACCTTTGGAAGAGCAGGCAATGCTCCCAACCTCTGAGCCATCTCTCCAGCCCCTATCTATCGTTTTCTGAGACAGGATTTCGCTGTAGCTTTGGAGCCTGTCCTGGAACAAGAACTTGTAGACGAGGCTGGCCTCGAACTCACAGAGATCCGCCTGTCCCTGCTTCCAGAGTGCTGGGATTAAGGGATTAAACCACTGCCTGGTTTGCTGTCTTTGTTTTTTTTTTTTTTTTAAATGTGTGTTTTGCCTGCCACTTATGTGTACCACTTGCATGCAGTGCCTGTGCAGTCCAGAAGAGGGCGTTGTATCCTATATAACTGGAGTTATACAGTGTGAGACCCTTTGTTGATTTTGGAGATGGATCCCTGATCCTTTGGAAGAACAGTCAGTGCTTTTAACTACTGAGGCATCTCTTCAGCTCTAAGGAAGGGTCACTGTGATGACTTACAAGATGGAAAAGACATTTGCTATTAAGCCAGATGTCTTGAGTCTGATCTCCAGGACCTGTCTGGTTGAAGGGAAGAACTGACTCCTGCTGAAAGTCACCCTTTTGCCTTCTTCATGCCTACTGCGGTGGAAGCACACACACTCAGTTTGTACACACACATACAAGATAATGTTAAAAACCTTTACTGTGGGTTGGGGAGGTGACACAGGGGTTTAGAGCACTCGCTGTTTTTGCAGAGGGACCCAAGTTCAATTCCCAGCACCCACATGATAGCTCACAACCATCTGTAACTCTAGTGCCAGGGGTTTTGACACCCTCTTCTGGAAGGCACACAACGTAGTATGCAGGCAAAAAAAAAACCCCATTCATGTGAGTTAAAATAAACATTTAAAAAAGTTTATTGCCTTTTTAACGAAACCAGGATAGTTGTCTTGTGGAGTGTGCAATATTCTGGGTTTTCAAAATGTTAAAAACAAAACAAAACAAAGCAAAACAAAACAAAACTGCGGGGCGGTGGTGGCGCACGCCTTTAATCCCAGCACTTGGGAGGGAGGCAGAAGCAGGCGGATCTCTGCGAAGCCTGGTCTACAAAGCGAGTGCCAGGACAGCTAGGGATACACAGAGAAACCCTGTCTCGAAAAGTGGCAAGAACATTTTTCTTAAGTTCAATTCTTCATTACCATTTTTATTTCCTGACCCAGTATTCTGGGCAGAATAGTGATATTTTTATTTCTTACTAAACGGGATTATTGTTTTTATAGTAAGCATTCTGTGTGACACTTTCAGCCTGGCAATTTCTTTTTTAAACAACTGGATTAGATTATCCTTTCCTTCCCTCCCATCCCTTTCCTCTCTTGTTGAGCCATGACGATGGCCACCTCAATTCTCACTTCGGCCTGAGCTTTCCAGCTCGCCCGCTAGAGGCCACTAGTTTTCTCCGCACGTCTCTGCTGCCGCTCTATCCCAGACCTCGCCGCTAGTTACCGGCCGTTGTCTCGCTGGTGCCGACGCCGTCCAAGGAGCCGCTCTAGGCTCCGCGAAGGTCGTCCGCATTGCGTGGGGAAAGTGCGGACGACGCAGTCGACTCGCCGGCCCCCGGGGCGGTTAGCGCTTCCGGGGTCGAAGGGTGCGCGGGGTTGAAAGCGGCCCGCTCCGCCCCGTCCCCCTCCCAGACCAGCAGAGGCAGCAGCCGGAGCAGCCGCAGCCTGCGCCCTCTCCCGCCCGCCCGCCCCCCGCCCTGCCGCCCACCCGCCCGCAGCCTACAGCGGCCCCCCCCCCCCCCCGCCCCCCCCCCCCCCCCGGCGCCCGCCCCCGCCCC